GCTGGGGTGGGGTGGGGGGGGTTGTTAACGACACGTCCTGAAACCTTCCTTTCTCTTGTAGCAAGTTTTCATTCAGGGTGTCTTGCTCTTCAGATTCTGATATACAGTGATAAGGGCCAAGGCGATAAAAGGCGATAGGGAGGCAGGGGGATAGGAAGCGAGTGAGAGATTGTTAGGAAGGCAGCAGTAGGGCATTACTGCTTCAAGAAGAGACAACAGGCTCCCTTTAAGACATGCGGCTTCTCCCGCAATGAGGTTTCTTCTTGGTTGCGGTGCGCCTGCGTTACGGGGGTCTCGACGTTTACGTCTTTTCGACGTCGACGCACCCCCGTTGGCGCAGAGTAGCTCAGTGCTCGTTGGACGGCGCTGCGACGGGACCATGCCGCCGCGCCCTGTACCATCAAAAGACAGATCTCAGGTACGGGATATATTTATTTCCATTAGACGTATCCCTTTTCAATGAGTTTTAAATTAACGCAAAGAGACGCTGATTCTGTGTCAGGGCTGCTGTAATTTTTTTTTTTTTTTTCTTAAAATTGCCCTTTGGTGATGACAAAGATCTTCTGTCTCACTTATATTTTTCTTTTATTTTTCAATCGTTTCTACATCCCAGTTGCTGGGGACCGATTAGTTTTATTTGATAATAGGTAAAATTCTTCCAAGTGCTTTGATACTTTTTATCCCAGCATCCGCGGTCGGGTTAGACGTTTCCTATAAAGGACACGAGTGTTATAATGTATCTGCGATTATATCGAACGAATTTCACGATGCAGGAAGAGACATGGGTTATTGATTATCGTGAATCACTTTATAAATAACCGATCACGTTGGAACACCTAGTGTAAGTGCGTGATATTCTTTAAAAGTCACACTCCCACACTGTTTGTGTTTTAGAGATGGAGCGGAGCGCTATCAAAAGTCGTTCTTTATCGTGTCGCAGCGCGGGAGGCGATTCCCAATGTCTCTTCGTATAATTTCTCTCTCGGTGTAATAGCCAAGCGACTGATTAGACCGGGTACAGGAATTTCGTTAGATCGTAGTCAGATGAAAGGAGGAGCTCCGCGCGACCAGCGCTTTCACGTCTTTCACATTGAATTCTCTTCTGCTCGGATCCTTCCACCTTTCTCTTTTCTCCTGCCCTTGGTCTTCCTATTTCTTTCCTTCCTTAAACGTCCTTAACCCAGTACTTCGTGTCTCCCAGCTTTTGTTGGTACTCCTCTATAGGAGCCAGCCGCCAATTCCGAATGAACAGTAGACAAGTAATGGATGTATTTCCTGCATAAACGATGCTGTCCGACTACCCCGAAATTTTATCTTGCTCCTCCCTCACTCGTCCAATGAAAATTGAATACTCTCCTCAGTTGCGTTCGCAAACTTGGTACCGAAGACTGAAAGTATTTTCTCGCAATTACGAGGAGATGCAACGCATTCACGTGTCCCACCACTCCTAAAAATTCTGCGGTTGCTCGAAGCGCGCTCGGGGATGCAAATTATTAAACCCCTATACATAGCCACACACGCGCGCGCACGAGTAGGAGCACATCCGCACGCAAACGCACACGCACACGCTCTCTCTCTCTCTCTCTCTCTCTCTCTCTCTCTCATTTATTGTCGCGAGAATCGAAAAGCGTAAATTGCGGCAACGCTAACAGGACTTTGTAGCGTTATCTGGATGGCGGAGAGAGACTTTGCGTTCGACGTCTGAGAATCTCGACCTTCCGGTTTTCGGAGTCCGTGACGCAGACGGTTTGATTAGCGACAAGGCCGATCGGTGCCAGGAGGTCGAGGGAATCGCTGCTTACGTAAAAATCGGCAATAAATCGATGCCTCGCACAGACGAGGAATTGCTAGAAATAAAAAAGTCAAAAGTTATGGAAAAAGCTGATAATATTGCGTTTCGGAAGTATCGCCCGATCGATTTTTCCCTTTTTGAGTTCGTCATTCATATTCTGATGCCAACCATTTGTTTAGAGAGGGGCGAGGGGGCGCGTGTGTCCCACACGCGTATCACGCTTCATTCTTCCATTCATTATACATGCGCTGCTCGAAATCCAGGTTAAAGCGCGGAATTAAATTTGCCGCCAGTTATCATTTCAAAACTGACTCCATTCGCGTGCGACGCATTCCGCTCGTCCCTGCTTTTAATAGAGGTCGTCATTAATTTTTTCTTGTACACTAATTATTGAAATACGCACACGTATGCGTACAGTCCGTACATCCTCCTTTTGCGGTTATCCCTCCAGACAGAGATTCGGACTCGAAACTATTAGTACGAGACCTTATCTTTATCCGGCAATATTCGTTAATTTCTTATTCCCTCTTCCCTCCCCTTTCTTGATTAAAAGCCAAACCACGCATTCGTCGAACATTTGCTTTCCGAACTCTATCGAAGTTATCTGTTGGTGTGCCTTACTCGGTGCGCAATGAAGTCAGCGCTTTTGGGATACTCGATAGACAGGGAGAGGAGACAGAGATAAGGAAGACACAGAAAAGGGAGTACAGCATTGATCGAGGTTATCTGCGTAAAGCACGTTAATCACCGGAATATTTATCGCTTCATTAGAATTTCAGTGTCTCCGTCGATAGGTACAGGCAGCAGCAAGTGGATGAGGATGATGCTTTTCCGGTGTGAAATCATTCTGCAAGGTGACGTTATATCATGTGCAGAACCATTGGGAAATCTGAAGCTTGCACTTTGAGATCATTGTTTGATATGGTGTCTTTCCTCACGAAAATAGAGGCCGCCTTATTTGTTTCCTTTTATCCATCAGTTTTACTACCCCGCCCCGCCCGCCACCCCTCTCACTCTTTCGCTCGCTCGCTTTATCCGCCTCGTTCCTCTCGAAATCTCACGAACAAAGAGAAATTGAGAAAAAGACATAAAAGAGCAAACGAGACGAGTTGTCTTTCCGTAGCAACTCCATTCGGCTATGAAAATAACTTTGGAAAAGCTTCCTTCGCCAGGGCGAGGATCGACCGACAACTTTGACTTTCTTCCGCTTACTTCTTGCACAATATATTCCAGGGTAGTACTTGACTTGAGGAAGGCAACGTGACAATAAGCGCATGGTTGTATATATGTATGTATAATCTCGTTAGGTGCATTCTCGAGAAACGTTCGTGTTATCGGTGACATTTCTTCGAGCATACTCCAAGCAAGATAGACGGAATGAGTAAAGGCCGAGAGGGGAGAGAGAGAGAGAGAGAGAGAGAGAGAGAGAGAGAGTAGTTGCATTAGCGAGCACAGATAATTGCTTTTGAGGCTCTTTCCATGTATTCGAAGAAGTTCCCGACTACGGGTCACGGAAGCAAATGTAGAGGTTCCAAGGCGTCGAGGAACGGCTAGGAGGTTGACGAGCCAATGGCAAGCAGGTTGGCAACTCGGCCAAAGAGAAGTGTACCTTGGCACACGGATACTTGACAGTTGATAGTTGAAAGACGAGGCTCTGGTGCGTTTCGCGACTTCTCCACGCCAATCCTAAGAGTATCAGAACCTGAAAAGGAGGGAATCGTAAAGCTACTTGGTCGCTTTACGCAAGGACGAAGGAAGCTGCATCGATTAAGCACTGAATAGCCGTCCGTGGCTCGAGGTCTCGAGGCACTTGCCTTCCGCGGTACATACATTGTGTCTGGCAGTCTTGAATGCCGTGCGAAAGAAAAATCGACGATCTCTCAAGGACAGGAGAAGCGCGTGGCTGCCGGAAATTGTTCAGTTCCATTTTCACTGGCAACATCGAAAAATGCTCACTTGTCGAAATGGCTCGTACTCGGTCTCACCCTCTTCACCCTCTTCACCCTCGTCGTCATTAACGTCGCTCGATCGTCGACATATCGTCACGGTCGCGCCGTCAGCATCGTCATGCGAGTAGAGACCGAGAGTCTCATCGATGAACTGGCTTGAATCAGCCAAGTCGGAGGCATTCTTTCGAAACTGGGTTACCGGGGGGATTACAATTTTACTTACGTGCTGTTCAACGAAACTCGGGTAATGCCGCGAGAGCCAAGACGCTTCCTAGCGCTCGATTCGCTGTTCAAGCCATAACTATTACGAGCAGCTGTGTTTCAGGAACACCCTGTAGACCTGTCAGTCTGCCAATCGTCCAACACGATTGTTTCAAATAGAATTTCAATAGCGGAGGCATGTGCGGTTGAAATGACGCTCGGAACCAAGTTCCTTTCAATCCAATTGCCGCAGTTCGATTCTCTAGGCTTTCCTTTCACGTCGGCCGTTCCTTGCAGCTTTCGCGGGAAATATTCAGTCGGCTTACGCATCAAAGTAGGAACCCCCGAGTATTCACGTATCCGTGCTCGTTGAGCCAAGCATATTTCCGATTGAAATGTATTGACGTTTCCTTCGCCTAATATCATTTACCTTTCGCATAGCTTTTACCTTATCACGTGACAGCTTACTTTTGCACTGTTGCCAATTCATCAATGGCAATTGTGTAATTTCTCGAATATTCAACAACGAGTTTGAGCGACCCTCGCAGAATCTGACGAAGATCTTTATTCTCTATTTCACGGATTCACGTATTCCTTTTCAGGTGCAGGTATGTATCGTCGAATAAATGAAGAGCATTAACGTCAAAGGGGAAATGCTAAATGTTTGTAACGAACTCATCGTGTGTGTCGGTTAAGCGATTTCAAAATAGGTTGACCAACCTCGAAGCTGCGAACGGGAAGCAATTGCAATATTATATACGAAGGACTTTCTCAGTCGGATCAGTTCAGAGATCGGGTAGAAGCTATTACGTAAGAAGTGTAGGATGAAAGTAATTCAGTAAGGATCACGCATGCGCGTGGATGACTAGTCAAGTTTTATATTGAAAATGGCAAATAATACTATAATACTCATATTAACAATGATGACGAGGTCATATATTTTAACCCGGAAGTGGTCACCGGGGTTGCCCGAGACATTCCAACTCAAAGCCCTTTAAACAGGCGCATAAAATCCCGCGGCCGTTCCCGGGTTAAAGATGGATAAGAGCAGTATTGTACGTGCGGTGAGTTGGGCTTTTACTCATAGCTTTAAACAGCATAAAGATTTGGTACAACGTGTACACGGAAGTACAGAGAGACTTCCCTGGAGTAGAGATTCTGCTTGAAATGCAGTTTTGATACATAGTCATTCTCGACAAACGTACATAAAGTTCATCCAAGCGACAAGTTGTGTCCCCTAACCGTAGGCTAGGTTTAACTAGAGCGAGAGAGGAGAGAGAATAGATGGAATTCGTTGACGAATAACGTTTATCGTCACGGCAGACAGTATAGAAATCCCGTTAATGTTAGCTAAGTACATAGAATATTGTAGGGGTTCTTACAAATGCAAATGCAGATGTATGCACCTCAAATGTGAAACCGTTCTGGATTATGGTCTATTATTTTACTGAATCAATCAAACTGCGCATTAGCTGATTTACCACATAGCACTGCACACTGTGATTCTCTGCCAACATATAAGACAAAAAGTCCTATCGACCAGTTTATTTAGAGTGTTTCGCATTCCCGGCGGATCCACACAGTATACCTTGTACATGGCGACAAAGCGTTTACAGGATACTCCTTAGATTCTTTAACTGGGCCAATACTACAGATGTGTTCAAGGATTTCCAATGAGCCAATTGGTCTAGCTCGATCAATATTCAAGCGAGCTTCGAAGCTTGCAGCAGCAATCGCACCGGGGGTGGCACTTCCTTGGGAATAATTCGACAGGATGATGGAAGTGAAAAATGAGCGGAAGTGACGGGCGCTATGGACTTGTAGCCAGGGTTGCAGGAGGTCCATCTAATTGTACGTGTCTCTGGGTGGAGATGCCAGCGCCGATGGAATATCGTAGCTAGAGGTCGGAGGTTAATTCGCGAAAAAGGCAAAAGCCCTCTGCTAATTAGCCAAGGCGTCAAAACTCGTTCCATCGTCTTGTTCGCTGAGAACGCGAGACCTCCCGGCATCCTCTTCGGTGAAGGACCTATACGCGCCTGTAACCGGAATTCGAGTGGATTTATAATCGCGGACAGAGAACAAAAGCGGATAAGAACGCCATTAACGTTTGAGTGTAGCAACAAGTTGAAGCTCTCGTTCGGTATTCATAATTGCGTGCGTACTCTCGTAATGAGTTTTTCAAATGAGTTCAGCTTTCTATTTTCATCCCAGTTACACCGTTCTGCCTTATCGAGGCTGCTGCATCATTGTCCTATTCGAAGTCGATGATCACGTGTCTCTAACGATAAGAAAAACGTCTTCACGTGTCGACGCCGTTCGACAATTCTATGAACTTCCTGTAATTTAGCCTTTAACTCTTGGAGTAGTAATACGGCAGTGACGTTAGAGCCCAGCCATTCGTTTCAGAATTTTTATTCCGTTTTAACTTTATATAATTTTTTTCTTTCTGTTATTCTTTTTTCTCTCCACCCCGCTCGCTTCCGGTTTCTCGCGGAAAAATCTTTTTCCTAGTACGAAAATTCGAGAAAAAAGCAACGCTGAGGTAGAATGTGTCGGGAGTGAGTAAACAGCTAACGAGACAAAAAAAGGTAGTGTGTGTGCGTCTATGGGAGGGAGAGAGAGGGTGAGGGGGGTGGGAGCCTGAGGAACGTAGCTGCGGGAAAACGAGAGTCCGATCAAAGCCCCACATTCAGATTCGATCAATGGAATCTGATTTTCATTCGAGAAGCTTAGCCCATGCCGGATTGGTAGGTTTTCGAATTTCACGAGGCGTCTTTTCTTCGTGGAAGGCTTCTATAGATTTTTTGTACGGTCTTCAACGTTTCTCTCTCTCTCTCTCTCTCTCTCTCTCTCTCTCTCTCTCTTTCTCTCAGCCTTATCCTTGAACGTGGGAGTCGATGTTTCCTTATAATTTTAATCTTGCGAATGAAGAGCCACAGGTGAAGCCAAATTAAAGACAGACAGTGCAATGCACTGTACAGGCAGCGCTTATCTCATTGCGCCGCGTGAGTTCGGAGGTCGACAAGCGAAAAGCGATCGAAGATGAAGTTCGTGGGATAATAAATGATAGTCAAGGGTCGGTGTGGTTAGTCAGAAGAAGTGGAAGTTGGCACGTCGAGAGGTCTATAATTTACTCACTGTGAGATTCGGGAAACGAGTGAGTGAGACATTGACGAAGCGATGCCTGAAAAATAAGTCTTTTTAGTGTCCGTCATGGGGAGAAAGTGTCTTGAGGAGCTTTAAGGTTTCCTAACACCGAGATCGAAATACCCAAATTGCCTATATTGTGTTCTCTCGCACAGACGTTGTCACGTGAAATCGATGTCAGGAAATTATTATCTAATTCAAAGAATATTTCAAGAGATACTCAAAGATAATTCAAAGGATTTTTCCTCCACTCTTTTGTATTCTCTCTCTCCCTCTCCCTTTCTCTTTCTTTTTCTCTCATTCTCACTGTCTCGTACCTTCTGACTTGAAACGTGTGAAAATCATATACATCCTGGTACGTCAGACCTTTTGCCGCTCTTTATTACTCGAAGCTAAAATCTAGTCTCAGCTGTTGCGGCGACATTTTCGCGAGGTCGTACTGCGCGTTACTGGCAGGTTGCAGGATTATCCCTCCTTGTGCGTTTGACCTACGACAAATCGTAAGACGATGAGCTTGACCGGAAGATTTAAGGTGGGGCAGGTGGGACAGGTGGGACGGTTGGGTGGATGGTTTATCTCCTAGAGAATCGCGGGGATGAAATTACGTAAGGGCCAGGTCGCTGTCACCGTTCGGCAGGTACGTGAATCTTGATCTACGCGTCGAGCGACAGAATAGAGAGCTGCGTTGCTACACGATCTAAATTATGCACAGCCAGCGACATCTTCTTAAAGGATTTTCGATATTTGTTGAGCTGGTGGCTGAGGACTTTTTTGAAGATTAAATGAGATGGGCGAGAAATGTGGGAAAGGTCGGAGGTCATAAAAAGGGATGAATCAAGGCTAGAAATAGGTGTAACTCTATATATAAAGTACGATACTCCTCGACAGGAGGCCATCTGGACGGGATGAACTCGAGCGGAGAATCCAGTGGGGGGACGATGGGAAAGGACTACGAAGGTGGATGCTCGGCTGCTGAGGAAGAATCCGGTATTACATTACCACTGTGGGAGGCGGCTGCAGCATCCCTGACCCTTGGATTTCTAGTCCTGGCAACGGTCCTTGGTAACGTCCTCGTGATCCTAAGTGTCTTCACCTATCGTCCGCTCCGCATCGTCCAGAATTTCTTCATCGTCTCGCTGGCTGTGGCCGATCTCACGGTAGCGATCCTCGTGATGCCATTCAACGTAGCCTACCTCCTCCTGGGCAAGTGGATCTTCGGCATTCATCTCTGCAAGCTCTGGCTGACCTGCGACGTCTTGTGTTGCACGGCAAGCATCCTGAACCTATGCGCGATCGCCCTGGACCGTTACTGGGCCATCACGGACCCGATTAATTACGCGCAGAAGCGCACGCTCAAGAGAGTCCTAGGGACGATCGCCGGGGTCTGGATTCTCTCTGGAGCAATAAGCTCGCCGCCCCTGGCAGGATGGAACGACTGGCCGGAGGAACTCGAGCCAGGTACACCCTGCCAGCTGACCAGAAGACAGGGCTACGTCATCTACTCTTCTCTAGGGTCCTTCTTCATTCCATTGCTTCTCATGAGTCTCGTCTACCTGGAGATCTTCCTGGCGACGAGGAGGAGACTGCGAGAGCGCGCCCGACAAAGTAGACTGGGCACGATGCCTTCGGCGAGGCACCGCGAGACCGACGACCCCGAGGAGTCCGTCAGCTCGGAAACGAATCACAACGAGAGGTCGACACCAAGATCCCAGGCCAAACCGTCTCTCGTCGAGGACGGGCCCACGGTGACGACCACCATCGGCACTGGGGGCCACCGTCGTCAGGCAGAAACGACGACGACCTCCACGGCGGTCTATCAGTTCATCGAGGAGCGACAGAGGATCTCCCTGTCGAAGGAGAGACGAGCCGCTCGGACACTTGGCGTCATTATGGGCGTCTTTGTCGTCTGCTGGCTCCCGTTCTTCCTGATGTACGTCATCGTGCCCTTTTGTCCAGAGTGCTGCCCATCCGAGAGAGTAGTCTACTTCATCACCTGGCTTGGCTACGTGAACAGCGCCCTCAATCCGCTCATATACACGATCTTCAACCTGGACTACAGGAGGGCCTTCAGGAGACTCTTGCACATCGGCTGAAGACGGATGAGGACCAGCCAGAAAGGAGAACGAGGGGAGAGGAGGGCCAGTCGGCTCGCCGACGTCTCTTTACACTTTGTTAGTCGCGCTCGTGTCACCCGTCAATCTCGAGCTTTCGGAACCGTAAGTATGTATTTCCCGTGACTCAGTCTCTACGCGTGAGAGATCCTGGAGATCCCTCCTATCGTCAACCTTAACCAACCCAACGCCCAGGGGAACTTGGCGAAGGACCTCAATCTATTGCCCAGGTCCACCCTGGTCCGTGCTGCAGTCTGGTACCTCGGCGCGCCCTAATTTTCGTTTTACACGTGAACGATTCGTTCTTTCATGTAAATCCAGTAAAATGGTGCAGCGCCCACTTGCCCTCTCAGTTGTCCGGAAGTTCGAGATCCCGCGAGTGGCCAATCACGATAAGCACAGCAATTCGCGTTTACCGATAGGACTTTTCTACAAATCGACCAAGTCCACTCTTGAGGTGTTTAGAAGCTAGATCGTACCTTGTACTGGATATACTTTATTATATCGCCGTGACTTCTCGTAGTTATACGCATAAAGTAACAAAGGGAGGAGAAAAATAAGAACGAAACCATCTCCATTTTGACGTAGGACAATTTTTCGACAACTATGTCTCTGACGCGCGTCACTCGTGTCCTGATATATTTGCAAATATTTGCAAGAAGCACAAGATAAGAATTCACACAGAGTACGTGCTTCCGATTGGTTATTTAGAACTAGGCGAAATTATTTCGTATTCATTGAGACTATATTAGAAATTATTTGGGAAAGATCGGTGAATACTATTCTAGTGAAACGACGCGAAATATGTCGTTAATTAAATATTCATTAGCAACGACAAACGAGACGCGTATGTCGTAGATTGGCGGGAATACCTGCCCTGTAGATTGAAATACAAGTATTACGGTTGTGAGTATTATAACAGAATTATATTAGAGTCCATTTACTATTAAGGACGTTATTACAGAGAGTAAAGTCAGGGAACAGAACAAGGCCAAGGAAAGGAGGAAAACGAAAGGATCACGTTATACGTTTATACGTATACAAAGCTATTCATAGGAAATTTCCTAATCGAATTTGACAGCTGTAATGCGATGACGAAGGCAGCACATGAACTCCGCATAAAATCAACGGAGGATCGAGACTCGTAATTATTACGTAACGATTGTGGCTGCCTTCCCTTGACGCAGTCTGATACGAATGAAAACTCGAGTAGACCGACGAATTCGATAAGAGTGCAGAGTTGCTTCGTTCTCGGTTGATCGAATGTCACTAGTGTCAGAAAATAATAATTGACGCGCGTAATGACAGCTGTCAAATCTGACAGTTTATTCTGAATAGCTCTGTATATTTCTGGATATAAAATGCATAATGCGTACGTTGACATACGTGTTATAAGAAAAAAAAAAAAAAAAGATATATTATACATGTAAATCAAGATTGAAAAATGAAAAGAAAAAGAATTCTATATACACATATGCATACGTAGGTAAAAATAAGAAGAACAACAATAAAAGTAATATTAATTGATCGATTAATAGTTGATAATTAAGGTTAATCAATGTAAACGAGGGAACGGAGTTCCCTCGAGTGCCGACACGCCAAAGGACTCCGAGGCATTCGAATTCGATATCCGGGCACTCTTTAATAAGGTTGTGATAAGGTTGTGAACAACATTCTTAGCCGTGCTTCGAATGACACAGGATTTTTAATTATATTAGAAATTTAACTCGAAACACTGGCCCAGTGCGCGCGACCAATCTCTGTCCAGATTTTGACCAAGCGTGTTGCGTGGATCGATCGATACTTCTCTGGCTAAAGTATCACAGTTAACGGATGCTGCCAAGGAGAATACAAAACTCTTATTCCTTTTGCTCGAGCAGCGCGACACGAGTTTCTTTATTCCTCCGTTCGGAAGTCGCGTTTCCTTTTATCGCGAACCTCCCGACTATTCGAACGTACCGTCAGAAATTAATTACATAACCGTAGTAATTAGCGAATTTCGAACGGTGTAACACGTCACTCGTCTCCTCTCTGTCCCTCCCTTTTCTCCTTCCACGTCGTTCGCCAACGCGCCCGCCTCCACCCCTCTAGTTCACCAGTTTTCTTTTATCACGCTTTCCTCTTTAATCCATCTGCCTCCCTTCCTCTCTCCCTGACACTCTCCCTGTCCCTGTCCCTCTCACTCTCACTCGCGCTTCTTGACATTCCCATTTCTCTCCGCAGGAAACACAGTAGCTACGTATACATACCGAGAGTACATACTGCTTCGAATCTCCTTCAGGCAGAATCCTTGGGCAGAAATTACGCGATGCACAGATATGGGTATATATAGATGTATTATAGGCCAATTTTTGTCAATCGGTTAACGAGTTCGCTCGATCCACTCGTTACGTCACGCGTTCTTTTCGAATCGTTCAATTATCCAGATTGAAGCATATAAAATCAAGAATTGCAACTAAACTCGAGTCTCTGTTGACCAGTGATAATACATAAAAAGATTGACGATCTGGAAGAATTGAGTGGGCGAACTTGCGAGCCGATCCTAATGGAATATATCGTTGGGACTGAATTGCCTGATCGAGCGACGTATACGTTACAATATAATATTAAAAGAACTAATACTCTATTGGTTGTGATTTACAAGTATAGCAATACAAGAGCTGCGAGTCTCTTGTCCACGTGTTCGGTGTTTGTTTTCCGGCGCAGGTCGCTGCGTCGATGCCGACGTCAGCAGCCTTCGAGAAGCAAATCTCGAGGCTGCCATCGCGACACGCCGCCGGTTTCGTAGCGTCGCGACGACGACGACACACGGGGAGGCGAGCAGGAAGCTCGTGAGAGCCTGCCGCTTGTATGTGCGATGAAGATGCGTCTGTATGTCCGAATGTGCGTGTGTGTGTAAATACCGAATAATCTTCATATGTACGTATATGATATATTGATATACTATATGTATACCGCGTGAATGGTGAATATTAATTATGAAGGAACAAAGAGATGACAATGTAACACCGCTGATTGTGAGTGGGTCCCGGACGCACGATTACGTGTACAGTGTCAAGGTCGAACTGTGGAAAATCCAGCCGGGGAGGCCGTCGGGAATTCAGGATGCGAGGCCACCCTTGCCCAATTATCCTGCGGCTCCCCCACTCAGTTTCACAATTGCATCCCCCTCC